CCTCGGCCTCCCAAAGTGCTGGGATTACAGGCGTGAGCCACCGCGCCCGGCCCCCAAGCAGCTTTCTTAGAAAACCCAAGCAGCTGTCTTTGAAAGCATTAATAAAGACAGTAATGATACTAGCACAGTTAAAGGCATGTTAAATCCTTAATAAATACCCTAGGGGGTACAGAACTTCATTTTTAAAGAAAGATTTGAAGGTAATGTGATGGAAAGGAAAGGCTGACACTGTTGAATTAAGGAAACATTTGCAACATAGACAAAGATTAGAGAGAATCACACAGTAAGAACGTCCAGGACAAAATAGCCAAACTGAACCAAGAAGTAGTGATGTGAAGGTAAATGAGTATTGTGTATATAAAATGTACAAGGTGATTTTAAAAGAATGGAACACTTTCAAAAAATTACTGCTTTTTGGCCAGGCGCAGTGGCACACACCCGTAAACCTAGCATTTTGGGACGCCAGGGCAGGCGGATCACGAGGTCAGGAGACCAAGACCATTCTGGCCAATATGGTAAAATCCCATCTCTACTACAAATACGAAAATTAGCTGGCCGTGGTGGTACACACCTGTAGTCCCAGCTACTCGGGAGGCTGAGGCAGGAGAATCGCTTGAACCAGGGAGGCAGAGGTAGCAGTGAGTCAAGATTGTGCCACTGTACTCCAGCCTGGTGACAGACCGAGAGTCTGTCTCAAAAAAAAAAAAAAAAAAAAATTACTGCTTTTTAACTAGGATAGATTTGAGCATGTAGTCAAAACAGTTTTAAATAAATGATTACAGTTATTTTTATGATCTTATAAACACTCAATATTCATCCCATGTGTTTCACAGCTCACATCAGTCCTGTATATGAGCTGTGATACACAAAGGATGCATATTCACTCGGGTCCTTGTAGGGACACAAGGGATGCTTATTCACTCAGCACTTTGTAGGGACACAGTGGATGCATATTCTCTCAAATCCTTGTGACATATTACTGTCAGTGGTTGAAGTGATAGCTGTGTTATGTTCTTTCATTTTCTCAAGGCTATGAAGAAGAATTGATACAAACGAGTTTATTGACTGTTCACTTATAACTTGTTTATTAAGCAATTAAAAATTTGAAGGTATTTAATCCTTTTTTCATTTTTATCTTTTTTTTTCCCTTTTTTTTTACATTGAGACAGGGTCTCACTCTGTCACCAGGCTGGAGTGAAGTGGCACAATCATGGCTCACTGCAGCCTCACCTTCTTGAGCTCAAGTGACCCTGCTATCCCAGCCTCCCAAGTAGCTGGGACCACAGGCGTGTGCCACTATGCCTAGCTAATTTAATTTCTTTGCACTCTTCCTTGGCCCTGTTGTATTTAGTTGACTTCATGTACTTCATGTTAAGCTGCTTTTTCTTGGTGGCTCAAAAATCAACAGACTAGCAGGAGTTTGAGGCCAACCTGAGCAACACAAGATCCCCATCTCTTAAAAAAAAAACTTTTTAAAAAAAATTAGCCAGGCATGATGTCACATGTCTATAGTCCCAGCTTCTTAAGAGGCCAAGGTGGAAGGATTGCTTGAGCCCAGGAGTTCAAAGCTGCTGTGAGCCACAGTTATGCTGCTGCACTCTAGTCTGTTGAAAAATAACAAAAATCAAGCTAGGAAAAAAACCGTATTTGAATCAGAATGACTTCTGTGATATATTAACAAATTTTCCTTATTTACCAGTTGAGTATATTACTTATATAACAGAAATTTATATTATACTGTATTTAGTTGCATAATCTTATTTGATCCTTAGAACAAGTCTGTGAAGGAGGTACAATTATTACCACGTTAAACACATGTTGATTCAGCTTGAGCACTGTATCTCACTAGGTGAGAGTCCAAATTTAGTGACATTTGTCATATCTATGGTTTAGACCACAGTATAAAAATGATCTGGAAGTATAATTTCCATTTTCCCTAAGATTTAAAATTCTAACATTTAAAGCATTGTGGAAAATTGTTACCTAGAGATTTGTTTACCACATTGATTCAGTTAGATATATGCCAAAACCTGTTTTGTAGCAAATTACATTTTAAACTTAGTACTCCAAGTCATATCTGATATTGTAAACTCTGTAATTAAGAGTGCCATTATAGGCCGGGCGCGGTGACTCAAGCCTGTAATCCCGGCACTTTGGGAGGCCGAGGCAGGTGGATCACGGGGTCAAGAGATCGAGACCATCCTGGTCAACATGGTGAAACCCCGTCTCTACTAAAAATACAAAAAAAAAATTAGCTGGGCATGGTGGTGCGTGCCTGTAATCCCAGCTACTCAGGAGGCTGAGGCAGGAGAATTGCCTGAACCCAGGGGGCAGAGGTTGCGGTGAGCCGAGATCGCGCCATTGCACTCTAGCCTGAGTAACATGAGTGAAACTCCGTCTCAAAAAAAAAAAAAAAAAAAAAAAGAGTGCCATTATAATACTCATTGTGGTACTAACAAATTGTATAGAAACCAGAAATTCACAAAACACTTGAAATGAAAGGAAGGATAGAATTTGAGTTTTATCTTTGAAATGGTAAGTGATATGTTTTGTGCCTTCAAATTAAGTTAATTTGACACTTGAGAACATCCTGTTTCTGGCCTTTTTTTTCCCCTGACACATTTGCTTGATGCAAAAAGACACCCAGATTGTTAATATATAAGGAAAGAAAAGTTGTAAATTAGTAAGAAGGTTAAGTAATAAAAGTTACATATATTATAAGCCGTGCTTTTACAGCATATGAACAAATTATATAAAACAGTGTTTATACTTGGCTTTCAAAGATTCTTTCATATTTAGTTTGAATTGTTATGTTCTTAATTTCTCAAAACTTTATGTGATACGTGGCCAAACAGTGAAAAATAATTCTGCTCAAAAATAGAAGAAAAAAGAAAAGGTTGGGAACGTAGAATAAAAATGTTAATAGAATAAACTTCATACTGATTGCTTGCCTTCTCTAGTGGTAGAATTACCATTGTGTAATTATAATCGTCTGTTGATACCCTATAATTTTTTCTGGAGGTGAATTACTTTTCCTTTTTCCCCAGAAGTTGATAATTAAGGAATATATATAGGGAAAACATAATGGGATTCTAATCATTGATTTCATTTTAAGTGGAAAATACATGAGCAGTTTCATAATGGTGTATTTAAATATTTGAACATATAGGCAGAAGAGAAAGTAAGGTACCATCTTTTTTTCAATTGTATGTACTTGTTTATATTTGTAGCTGTAGTAAAACTTAAAATGTCACATTTATTTGGTGTACTATTCTCAAAAATGTATTTGGAAAGTAGTAAATTCAAAATAATAGCAAGTTTAAAACTTAGTAGAGTTTACTTTAAAATGTTTAAAACTTTGTTGAAAGTTAACATGAAACAAAGTGTTACTGATTTATCGTTAAATTTCATAAATATAATTGGTACATGAAAATATGTAAGCATTCTTTTAGCATACATATTTTTCATAATAGCCTTTTAATTTTGATATATAATTATGTACAATTACAATAAGTTTTGTGTACTTTATACATGAATTGGTATTTTGTATTTTTGGGGTAAATTTCAGTTGTTAGTGTAATAGATGTTGCATTTTGTTTTAAGTATTTACTTTTTCAGTTCTTAAGTGGTAAAACTTTGGTTCTTACTTGCTGGTCTGCATGAACCTA